ATCGGGCTCCCTGCTCAGCGGGGAGTCTGCTTCTCCCTCTGACCCTCTTCCCTCTCATGCTCTCTCTATCTATCTCATTCTCTCTCTCAAATAAATAAAATCTTAAAAAAAAAAAAAAAGAAAGTAGCCAGTCATAAAAGGACAAATACTATATGATCCCCTCAAAAGAGGTACTCAGATTTCACGAGAGAAAGCGGATTGGTGGTTACCAGGGGCCAGAAGGTAGGGAATGTGGAGAGTCATTATTTAATAAGTGCAAAGTTTCAATATTGCAAGATGAAAATGTTCTGTGGGTAGATGGCAGTGATGGCTGCACAACAATGTAAATGTACTTCATGAACTGCACACTTAAAAATCATTTAAATGGGGGGCGCCTGGGTGGCTCAGTCGTTAAGCGTCTGCCTTCAGCTCAGGTCATGATCCCAGGGTCCTGGGACTGAGCCCTGCATCGGGCTCCCTGCTCCAGGGGAAGCCTGCTTCGCCCTCTCCCACTCCCCCTGCTTGTGTTCCCTCTCTCACTGTGTCTTTCTCTGTCAAATAAATAAATAAGATCTTTTTAAAAAAATTTAAAAATGATTTAAATAGTAAAACAAAAAATAATGATGTTAAACAATATTCACTTTTTAAAAAGAGACATACTATATGATTCCACTTAGTATCTAGAGTAGTCAAATTCAAACAAACAGAAAATAGAATGGTCGCTGTCGGGGTTGGGGTGAGGGGGAAATGGGAGTTGTTTAATTGGTATAGAGGAGTTTCAGTTTTGGAAGATTAAAAACTTCTGGATATTAGTTGCACACCATGTGAATATATTTAACACTAATGAATTGTGCACTTAAAAGTGGTTAAGATGATAAATTTTACCAAAAGTAAAATACACACACACTTAAAAGATGTTTGCTTTCAGAGTTCATTTGGATAAGAGGCAAGAGAAGTACACTTAGTTTATTGATAGTGTATCAGCTGTGTGTCTGAAATAATACCAATGTTTCCTTCAGAAGAAAATTATTAATTATCCTGAATGAATGAGAGAAGCTTTTGGGATTTATCAGCTCTGTATTAACTCTAAAAGACAAGAGCTAGTGTTCTTCTCATGTAAGCTCTTAACCTAATTCTTTTTTTAAAAAAAATATTTTATTTATTTGACAGAGAGAGAGAGCACAAGTAGGGGAGCGACAGAGGGAGAGGGAGAAGCAGGCTCCCCACTGAGCAGGGAGCCCAATGTGAGGCTCGATCCCAGGACCTTGGGATCATGACCTGAGCTGAAGGCAGACGCTTAACCAACTGAGCAACCCAGGCACCACTCTTAATCTAATTCTCAATTATGTTTTTAATTCCTATAAGCTTAACTTATTCAAGAAAGTCACCAGGAAAAGTAATCAAGCTCTAAAAGAGAAGACAGAACATTATCAAGCCATTTTTGTCCCAAGTAAACACAAAGTTCAAATGACTTAATTGGTCAACTTTATAAAGATCACTTTAATTTGTGATGCCCATTTTCAACAAATTTGGTCTGAGTGCTGTAAAGAGGTTATGGGGCAGGTCATAGAACTGGGACTCAAAAAAAAAAAAAATCCAAAAAGATTTTAAGATTTAAAAAATCCCAATAAATTCTGTTTCTGGCTCTAGAAGGATCCTTGTGTCTAAGTCTCAGTTGTCTTATCCACAATTCCATAATCCTACTTTAAAAGGCACTATGTGTTAATTATAATTCAAAACCCAATGAAATAGAAATATACCATTGCTGAGGATGGTTTATCATTTTCATTATGTGTCACACACTTTTCCTACTTAAAATAATTTCTACTACAGTGATTTGAAAGGGCACGTGCACCCCAATGTTTATAGCAGCAATGTCCACAATAGCCAAAATCTGGAAAGAGCCTAGATGTCCATTGACAGATGAATGGATAAAGGTGTGGTACACATACACACACACACACACACACACACACAGGAATATTACTCAGCCATCAAAAAGAATGAAATCTTGCCATATGCAACAACATGGATGGAATTAGAGGGTATTACGCTAAGTGAGGTAAGTCAGAAAAAGACAAAGCCATGTGATTTCACTCCTATGTGGAATTTAAGAAACAAAACAGATGAACATAGGGGAAGGGAAGGAAAACTAAAATAAGATAAAAACAGAGAGGGAGGCAAACCATAAGGGACTCTTAACTGTAGGAAACAAACTGAGGGTTGCTAGAGGGGAGGTGGGTGGGTAGATGGGGGAACTGGATGATGGGCATTAAGGAGGGCACTTGATGTAATGAGCACTGGGTGTTATATGCAACTGATGAATCACTAAATTCTACCCCTGAAACTAATAATATACCATATGCTAACTAAATTGAATTTAAATAAAAAATTAAAAAAAATTTTTTTACTTACTTGGTCAACTTGTGGCTTTTCATTGCTGTGAGAAATTCTCTAACAATCTCAGGACTCTGGTGCCTGCATGGTGTTTTTGATATATATTTTAATGTCTACCCAAAAAAAAGAAAGAAAAAGTAAGCATAAGGCAAAAAAAACCTGAATGAGAAAAAGGGAAGACAATGGCTATAATTTAGTATTCTAAAATTTTATTTCAAAAATCTTCTATAAAAGGGCACCTGTGTGGCTCAGTCAGTTGAGCATCTGACTTGATTTCGGCTCAGGTCATGATCTCAAGGTCATGGGATCAAGCCCCGCATAGGGCTCCACGCTCAGCATGAAATCTGCTTGTCCCTCTCCCTCCCCTGTTTCAACCCCCCCATATACCTGCCTGCTCTCTCTCTCAAATAAATAAATCTTAAAAAAAAAAAAAAACTTCTATAAAACAAATGCCTTCAGGAGAGTCAATCTTCATATAATGGGAATTCCTCAAAAACAAAACCAGTGGCTAGAATAGGAAGAATAATGAATGACTTTCTAGAAGAAAGCTTTTCTGATTTTAAAAAAGAAAAAACTCAATCTGACAATTGTGTTTTATTTCAGGAAATTTTTTTAGTGATACTTATATATGTATATATACATACGTATATATAATGGACTCAGCCATCAAAAAGATGAAATCTTGCCATTTGCAACGACATGGATGGAACTAGAGGGGTATAATGCTAAGCAAAATAAATCAATCAGAGAAAGATAATTATCATATGATCTTACTGATACGTGGAACTTAAGAAACAAAACAGAGGATCATAGGGGAAGAGAGGAAAAAATAAAACAAGACGAAACCAGAGAGGCAGACAAACCACAAGAGACTCTTAATCATAGGAAACAAACTGAGGGTTGCTAGGGAAGAGGGGGGTGGAAGGATGGGCTAACTGGGTGATGGACATTAAGGAGGGCATGAGATGTAATAAGCACTGTGTATTATATAAGACTGATGAATCACAGACCTGTACCTCTGAAACCAATATTACATTATATGTTAATCATCTGAATTTAAATAAAAAAGGAAATAAACATGGATTAAAAGAAGTTTGAAAACTCAAAAAAATAAAATAAAATAGAAAATAAAAACAGGGAACCCAAAGAATAGTCACCAGTCCATATGGGTATAAGTAAATAAAAGGATGAGAAGGAACAAGTGTTTCTTACAGAAGAAATCTGTGTTAAATGTGCAAGGAATGAGGGAAATAAATCACCATTAGGGAACTGAACCATAGTAATAATTACTGCAAGAAAGATATACCAATGAATACTAAAATTAATACTAAAAACTTTAAGTGGGATATTTGCATAGCCTCAAAGCATCCTTCTCAAAATATTTATTAATTACTGTGATGGTTTTATTTTTTATTTTTTTTTAAAGATTTTATTTATTTATTTGAGAGAGAGAGAATGAGAGATAGCACGAGAGAGAAGAGGGTCAGAGGGAGAAGCAGACTCCCTGCTGAGCAGGGAGCCCAATGCGGGACTCCATCCCGGGACTCCAGGACCACGACCTGAGCCGAAGGCAGTCGCTTAACCAACTGAGCCACCCAGGTGCCCTACTGTGATGGTTTTAATACATGTCCTCAAATTCTTTGATCTCCTTCCCTTCAAGAGGTGAAGCCTAATCCCCTCCCCCTTGAATGGGCTGAATGTGGCAACTCCTTTCTAACTAATACAAAATGGAAATGGAAAACCACTAACTTTACAGTAGAGAAACCAGGCATATACCATCTTAACCAAGTAATCAAAGTTCACAACTTCAGTAAGAAGACACTGATATCATGTACCCTGTACCATGCAATGAGAAGGGCACATCTCTTCTGTGGCATTCTTCCCCAAAAGCCGTAACTTCAGTCTGGTCAGAAGAAAACATCAAACAAACCAAAATTGAGGGACGTTCTACAAAATGCTTGACCATTACTCTTCAGAAGTGTCAAGGTCATGCATGGAAGATGAGGAAAGACTAAGGCCCCATTACAGATTGGGGGATATTAAGGAGACATGGTAACTAAATACAAAACAGCACCCTTGAACAGAAAAAGAGCATTAATGGAAAAACTGAGAAAATTTGATCTTTGTGTAATTTTGTTAGTTTTGATAACTGTGTCATGGTTATATAAGATGTTAACATCAGGGACAACTAAAGAAGGGCATATGGGAACTCTCAGCACCATCTTCTTTCTGCAAAACTCTTCTGCAAGACTATAATTATCTCAAAATGAAAGGCTTTTACTTTTTTTTAAAGAGGCAACCCCACCTAGACATAACTTGAAAGGAACTTCAAACCTGGAAAGTAAACAGTAACCTCAAGCATCTAAGTTAAGCGTCTCTCCCAAGTGCAAAAATCAGGTTGGTCTCAGACTCCTCCATAACAACAAACACTAACAGACTAAGTAATACCTATAGAGCCTTGCAGAATGAAAGCTGAACCCAAGAACTCCATGTTCAGATGAGGTGTCATTCACATTAAGAACACTAGAAATACATTCTCAGGCATAAAAAGTCTCAAAACATTTAACACCACAATAAGGGTCCTTAAGGCACTGTGAATTAAAAGCAAGAACTTAACAAATATGTAACAGAGTGGGAGTGAGTTTAAACTGATTCAAGTGTGTAGTGAGAGTACGTGACAGCTTGAAATCTGGCTACAAAACTCATTACCAACATTTTCTTTTTTTAAAGAGATGAATGGTATAACATAAAAGAACATAAGTGAATAAATGAATGATGCATTTATTGACTGATTTGAGAGAGAGAGAGAGAGAGAGAGAGAGAGAGAGAGAGAGAGCGTGCACGCACAAGCTGGGGGGAGGGAGAGGGAGAAAGTTTTTTTTGTTTCATTTTGTTTTTAAGATTTTATTTATTTATTTGACAGAGAGAACACAAGCAGGGCGAGTGGGGGAGGGAGAAGCAGGCTTCCTGCTGAGCAGGGAGCCTGATGTGGGGCTCGATCCCAGGACCCTGGGATGACCGGAGCTGAAGACAGACGCTTAACGACTGAGCCACCCAGCGGCCCCAACGGAGAAAGAATCTTAAGCAGGCCCAATGCAGGGCTCGAACTCAGGACCCTGAGATCATGACCTGAGCGAAATCAAGAATGGGGTGCTTAATGACTGATCTACCCAGGTGCCCCTGAATGACAGGACTTTATTTCTATTATTTTTTTTTAAAGATTTTATTTATTTATTTGACAGAGAGAGACAGCCAGAAAGGGAACACAAGCAGGGGGAGTGGGAGAGGGGGAAGCAGGCTTCCCGCTGAGCAGGGAGCCCAAAGCGGGGCTCAATCCCAGGATCCTGGGACCATGACCTGAGCCAAAGGCAGATGCTTAACAACTGAGCCACCCAGGGGCCCCATGACAGGACTTCAAACACACGATTAGATGAACAAAACTGGATGGGGAGGAATGGTGACAAAAAGTGCTAAACACCCCTTAATTTCCTTAAAAGGGATTATAATAACTTAATTCAGGTTTAATTGTGTCTTTGGAAAGATAAAAATAATTAAAACTAGATCCTCTGTAGAGACAAATCAGATTTGAAAGAAAATAACAGAAAAATTAAAATGACAGATACAAAATCAAACATCACATAAAACAAATATGACGGCTTAAACTTTTTTAAGGATAAAGAAAGCATAAGGTTGGGAGAAAACATAGCAAAATGTCAACTAGATGTTAAAATTATAAATTACTTTTGCTTTCTTCTTTATATTTGTTGGTACTTTCTAAGTTTTTTACAATAAAAAACATTACCTTTTGGGTAATAAAGAATTTGGCTTTGCCCAAAGATACGGTTTGGTCTTTGCCCTCAGCTTCTGGGAGGCAATCTCTAGACCCTTGGAAGGTTATACTCAATAGGAGTATCTTTGTATGGAGGCCTTGGTCATACTGAATAGTCTTAAAAATGTGACTTAGGGTAGGGGCTCTGTATCAATGTACCTGGAGGCTGAGATGAACTACATAGGAAATCAATCATTCAATCACACCTATATGATAGAGCCCAAATAAAAATTCGGGACTGAAGTTCAGCTGAGCTCACCTAGTTGAAAATATTCTGTATGTATTATCACACACCGATTTCAAGAGAGAAACATGCTCTGACTCCATATTAGAGGACAACAGAAGCTCTGAGTTGGAATTTCTCCTAAAATCTGACCCATGTGCTTTTTCCCTTGGCCAATTTTAATCTGTATCTTTTTCGTGTAATAAACTGTAACTATGAATACAACAGCCTTCAGTGAGTTCTGAATATTTCCAGTGAATTACTGAACCCAAGGGTGGTCTTAGGGATCCTTGACTTGTAAATGGGTGTTAGAATTGAGGGCAGTCTTTTGACTATTCCCTCCAACTTTATCAATGGCTAACCCTCACCACTGGCCAAACTCCTTCCACTTGTATAAACAGAATAAAAACTGGGTTACAGTAAAACTACTCAAATCAAGTAAGAGGTAGTCATGATTTGGTGGCTAGTCATCTGCAGAATAAACCAACCCCCCTCAATAGTAGTTTGGGTAGCTCCTCCAGAAACATAGGCTTACTTCATATGTGATAGTATTCAAGTTCTGTTGCCCAGAACTGTGTTTGTTCTTTCCACTTTCTTTCCGTTGCTCTTTCAGATCAGTCAGTAACTGGAACACCTAGGAAGTGATAAAATATTTTTATGAACAAATGTGAGAAATATATCTATTTCAAGGTCAATGATTTTGAAGGATAAGTAGGACAGTACCTCTTTTCTTTCAAAAACCCTCACCCTAACTCTTGCATTAGAGCAAATATGAGTTTGAGAAGCAGCTGCCATTTTTAAAATGCTTTTATCTAAATCAAATAATCCAAATTCATTAGTTTACTGAAAATATTTCAAATGTTTCCTTATCAACATACACCATATCACTGATCTCCTCTGACCTCAAAAATATATGGAGTATATCTGAAAGTAAATTTTCCTAAAATATGATCATCTCAATAGATGCAAAGAATTTTCTAAAATTCAACACCAATTTATGATAAAAACTCTCAACAAACTGGATTTAGAGGGAACATACATTAATGTGTAAAGGCCATGTATGACAAGCCCTCAGCTAACATCATACTGAACAGTGAAAAGCTGAAAGTTTTTCCTATTAGATCAGGCCAAGATAAAGATGCAACTCTTTCCCCTTTTATTCAACACAGTATTGGAAGTCCTTGCCAGAGCAATTAGGCAAGAAAATACAAGGCAGCCAAATTGGAAAGAAAGTGGTAATGCTGTCACTATTTGCAGATGACATGATACTACATATAGAAAACCCTAAAGACTCTACCAAAAAACTGAACTAATAAATGAATTCAGTAAAATTACAGAGAAATTAAGTAAACAATCCCATTTACAATTGCATCAAAAAGAATAAAATACCTAGGAATAAATTTAACCTAAGAATGAAAGATCTATATACTGACAGGATAAGACGCTGATGAAAGAAACTGCAGAAAACACAAATAAATGGAATGATATTCCATGCTCATGGATTAGAAGAATTAATAATGTCCATATTACCCAAAGCAATCTACAGATTCAGTGTAATCTCTATCAAAATTCCAATGGCATTCTTCACAGAAATAGAACAAACAATCCTAAAATTTTATGGAACCACAAAAGACCCTGAATAGTCAAAGCAATCTTGAGAAAGAAGAGCAAAGCTGGAGGTATCATGCTTCCTGATTTCAAACTATATTACAAAACCAAGAAATCAAAATGGTATTGTATCAGCATAAAAACAGACACATAAATCAATGGAACAGAATAGATAGTCCAGAAATAAACCCACACATATGTGGTTAGTTAATTTTTGACAAAGGAGCCAACAATATACAATGGGGAAAAGAGAGTCTCTTCAATAAATGGTGCTGGGAAAACTGGACCACTATCTTACACCACACACAAAAATGAACTCAAATGAATTAAAGAACTGAATGCAAGTTGTGAAACCATAAAGCTCCTAGAAGAAAACACAGGAGGTAAGCTCCTTGACATCAGTTTTGGTGATGATTTTTTTTTTTATTTAACACCAAAAGTAAAGGCAACAAAAGCAAAAATTAAAAAGTGGGGCTACATCACACTAGAAGGCACAGCAAGGGAAACCATCAGCAAAATGAAGACAACTTACTAGATGAGAGAAAAGATTTGCAAATCATGTATCTGATAAGGAGTTAATATTCAAAATATATAAAGAACTTACAGAACTAAATACCAAAAAACCAATCTCATTAAAAAGTGGGCAGAGGACCTAAACATTTTTCAAAAGAAGACATACACATGGCCAACAGACACATAAAAAGATACTCAACATCACTAATCATCAGGGAAGTGCAAATCAAAACCACAATGAGATATCGCTTCACACTTGTTAAAATAGCTAACATCTAAAAGACAAATACTAAGTGTTGACAAGGATAAGAAAAGGAATCCCTTATGCACTGTTGGTGGGAATGTAAATTTATGCAACCACTATAGAAAACAGTATGGAGGTTCCTCAAAAAGTTAAAAATAAAACCACTATATGATTCAGCAATCCCACTTCTGGGTATTTTATCAAAATAAAATAAAAACACTAACTCAAAAGACATATGCACCACCATGTTCAAAGCAGCATTATTTACAATAGCCAAGATATGGAAACAACCTGGGTGTCCACTAACAGATGAATAAAAAAATATGGTTTTTATATCTACAATGGAATATTATTTGGCCATAAAAAAAATGAAATCTTGCCATTTGCAACATGGATGGACCTTGGGGTATTATGCTAAGTAAAATAAGTCAGATAGAGAGAGACAAATACTGTATGATCTCACTTATATGTGGAATCTTAAAAAACAAAATAAAAACTAGGGAGTGCTGGGTGGCTCAGTCAGTTAAGCGTGCAACTCCTAATTTCAGCTCAGGTCATGATCTCAGGGTTGTGGGATCAAGCCCCGCCCTGGGCGCCACACTCAGCAGAATCTGCTTGTCCCTCTCCCTCTGCTCCTCCATCAGCTAGCATGCGCATACATTCTCTCTCAAATAGATAAACAAATAAATACATACATAAAATCTTAAAAAAAAAACAAAAACCAAGCTCACAGACATAGAGAACAGACTCATGGCTTCCAGAAGCAGGAGGTAGAGGGTGGGCAAAATCAGTAAGGGAGTCAAAAGATACAAATTTCCAGTTACAAAATAAATAAAATAAGATGTACAGCATGGTGACTAAAGTAAAACTGTACTGAATATTTGAAAGTTGCTAAGAGATTACATCTTAGAAAGTTCTCATCACAAGAAAAAAATCTTTATATATGGTAATGGATGTTAATTAGACTCACTGTGGTAATTTCACAATGTACAAATATTGAATCATTACAGTGTACACCTGAAACTAATGTTATCTGTCAAATGAGCCTCAGTTAAAGTTGTTCTTCCTAAAAATAAGTTTTTTCTAAAACAGGATCCTGCTTCACTAATATGAAATCTAGTAAATTTATTTCTGAGAAAGAAAAATTATGAGGCAAGTGATAAATTTTACAAAAAAAAAAAAAAAGGAAAAAAAATGCTACAGAACTTTAGAAGTAAACTTTCCCCACAAGGGAAAAACATGTAGGTGTTAGTGCTGAGGAGGGTGGGCAGAGGATATCCTATTTTAGAGATTATGCTAGACAACTAAAGGAAGTTAAGCATAGGTTCATAAACCATTACTAGATATAATACAATCCCTCCCCTGCCTGTCATTATTTTTTCAGATATAGTGTCATGTGACCTAATTAATGTGATGTTTCCCCAATGGATAAAACACCCAAACATTTAGCAGAATCCAAACTGGACAAGGAAGTTCCTAAAAGCCAATGGCTTGACTAACAACCATTTCCTTCCTGTTATCAGTAGCAACAATTTAAGGAAGGGGTATGGCCAACTGTGTTAATCCCACTACTTTCTATTTTCTATAACACACAATGGAGACTCAAATCTCCTAAAGTCTTCAAGAATTTAGATTCTGGAAAACGAAAAATTGACAGTGAAAGTATGAATGGTTCTTTATATACCTGGAGTTAACCTACCAGATGGCTTTGCTAATACCAAACAAAACAAAGGCAAACTAGGGGCGCCTGGGTGGCTCAGTCATTAAGCGTCTGCCTTCGGCTCAGGTCATGATCCCAGCGTCCTGGGATCAAGCCCCGCATCGGGCTCCCTGCTCCGTGGGAAGCCTGCTTCTCCCTCTCCTTCTCCCCCTGCTTGTGTTCCCTCTCTCAGTGTGTCTCTCTGTGTCAAATAAATAAATAAAAAATCTTAAAAAACAAAACAACAACAAAGGCAAACTAGAAGGTAGGCAAAAATAATGTTATTATCTCCCCTCTCACCAACTTCTTTCCTTTTTTCCTCCCTTTCTCCAGCAACCCAAGCCCCAGGCCCCCAAATTCCAAATCTGCTAGTTCATACTAAATTATTCACAATGGTGCGTCAACTAAGTTGTCACTTTCAAAATGAAAGTGTTAATACTTGAGACTATTATGAGGATCAAAATAATAACATATAAAAGCATTTTATAAGTTAAAGAGTAGTAATTAGGAAAAAGCATAAGCATTTTAATGAAAAATGTTGCAGACAGAAACAGTTCCAAAATAGATCCTTCCATCCCATGAAGGCACATCAAATGAAGATCTAAAATATTTGGGATCTGGGGAAGGTTGCCCACTATAAACTAAAGTCTTCCCAGCTTCCCTGAATTACTATGCATAATTTACCAAGCTTATAATTCCAAGGTCCACCAGATGGTGCCATCTGTCCTATAAAGTGGAAAATCCAAATGAATTCAGTCATTTTAACTAAAACTAATTCAATAATCTTCAGAAGCAAAGGGCAAACTACCAGAGAGGAAAATTCAATAGTTCACTTCAAAGCTATTTACCTCGTAGTTACTGAGCAGTGCAGAATTGGCATCCTTCCTGCAAAATAAAGTAAATCATCATCAGTCTGGGCTCACATTCCTTTGTGGGAATTAAATATCTGTAAAATACTTCCTGTATCAAGATTTAGTAGTTCAGTTCAGGAATTTAGGGGCTACAACCTAAAACTGAGAAATGTCCTAAGTCCTACTGGTTAGCTGGCAGTGGACAATTTCAGAGCAAACTTCCCTCTTTACAGGCATAGTATATAACACATCCATTACTAAGTAGGTGATTGAAATACTATACTTATCCTTAATCTATGTAGGCAGAAGTTAAGAGAAGTCAGTCATCTGGGAAAAGTCACTTACAGGAAGAATATGGGGCAAAACCAGAGGGTTAGGAAGGGGCGTCAGTAAACAGGGAGGGGGCTAGAATTAACTGGAGAAACAGTGCTGTCTCATCCCACAGCCATGTCCTTTCCCCAGTACCATCTGCCTCCCACCAGTTATTGACATCTTGGGCAGGCAAGTCACCCTGCTGAATCACTAGAAATGGGATCATTAACATTAACATCACTACTGGGAATTCCAGCAATGTCAAGAATCCTGCTAGATATCCTGAAAGGTGTTCATCTTCTGTATCAATTCGACAGGTAAAGTTCATGCGTCAAGCAGTGGTCAAAGCGTGGTACCCCTGCAATCAAGGCACAATGTCATTTTTCATGTATGAGTGAGCACAGCAACGTGACTTATATTAAAGTATAATCAAGCCATTCTACGATACCACATCAGAAGTGCTTAATGCTTTTAATAGTCTAGAGGCAGTATAGTGTGATAATTAAGAGCACATTTTTGAAATCAGACAAATCTAGGTTCATATTCTAGCTCTGCCACTTACAAGGTATGGGAGTTTTGGTGAGTTTATTAACCCCCCTAAGCTTCTCATTTAAAACAAAAAAAGGGGAGCGGAGCAGGAGGCTCTGTGGGACCCAGTCAGACCGCGCTACCAAAGCATCACCCATACCCACCACGGCCGCCACATCGGGGAGTCTCCTGCGCCACCCAGGGGAGCGAGCTCCAAGCATCTCCTGCTGCAGCCGCTCCTCGGGGCCAGGAGCAGGGAAGCTGAGTATGAGAAACCCCCAGGCCCGAGACCCGAAGGCAGCCTCTTCCCGCCACCTAAACCACCATGACCCACTTCAACAAGGGCCCTTCTTAAAGGGCTCTCCGTCAAGGTCAAGAACAAGACTGCTTCCAACTATGATCTTCAGGCAGAAGAAAATCTTCAAAATTGGATAGAAGAGGTGACAGGCATGAGCATTGGCACCAACTTTCAGTAGGGCTTAAAAGATGGCATCATCCTCTTTGAGCTCATAAACAAGCTACAGCCAGGCTCAATGAGGAAGGTTAATGAGTCCTCATTAAACTGGCCTCAGGTGGAGAATATTGGCAACTTTATTAAAGCTGTTCAGGCTTATGGCATGAAGCCACATGACATATTTGAAGCAAATGATCTTTTTGAGAATGGAGACATGACCCAGGTTCAGACTATGCTGGTGGCTCTGGCAGGTCTGGCTAAAACAAAAGGATTCCATACAACCATTGACACTGGAGTTAAGTATGATGAAAAACAAACAAGACGTTTTGATGAAGGAAAATTAAAAGTTGGCCAAAGTGTAACTGGTTTGCAGATGGGAACCAACAAATGCACCAGCCAGGCAGGTATGACAGCCTATGGGACCAGGAGGCATCTTTATGATCCCAAAATGCAAAGTGACAAATGTTTTGACCAGACCACAATTAGTCTGCAGATGGGCACCAACAAAGGAGCCAGCCAGGCGGGGATGTTAGCACCAGGTACCAGAAGAGACCCCTATGATCAGAAGCTAACATTACAACCAGTGGACAACTCGACAATTTCTCTACACATGGGAACCAACAAAGTTGCTTCCCAAAAAGGAATGAGTGTGTATGGGCTTGCGCGGCAAGTATATGATCCCAAATACTGTGCTGCTCCCACAGAACCTGTCATTCACAATGGAGGCCAAGGAACAGGAACAAATGGGCTGAAATTAGTGACAGTGATTATCAGGCAGAATACCCAGATGAATATCATAGAAAGTACCAAGATGACCACCCCAGAGATTACCAATATGGTGACCAAGGCATTGATTATTAGATTGACACAGAGGGGCTCAGTATTTAGTCCATTGTTTTTATTCAGTGAGAACCAAGCTAGCCTTGAGTAATTTTTATCTTGTCTTCTTAAAACACTAGAATGCTTATTGTACCTAAAAGAAATACTGCCTTACATGCATTCCCTTTTCCTTTTTCTGCCTCTTCCCTAAATGGTTGCCTTTTAGTGCTGTAACAGTTCAATCCTACAGCGGAAGCAGTAACTCCCATATGAAGTAAAATCCTTTTTTGTGAAAGGGGAGTACTCTTGTACAGCCAATTCTCTTATTAAAGACCTATGCTTTTTTTTTTTAAGATTTTGTTTATTTGAGAAAGAGAGAGCACAAGCAGAGGGAGTGGCAGGCAGAGGGAGAAGCAGGCTCCTCACTGAGCAGGGAGCCTGACGCCCGACTCAATCCCAGGCTCCTGGGATCATGACCTGAGCTGAAGGCAGATGCTTAACCGACTGAGCCACCCAGGCCCCCCCAAAGACCTATCTTTTTTTACAATCTACTTAATAAACTGCGATTTTCAAACGATAGGAAGCTTTTTTTTTTTTTACAGTTTAGTATCTAGCTAAATGTGGTCTTCGCCAACTAAATTTAAGATGCAGCATTTTAGAAATTTACACATCAATGTCTCTACAGTATTGTTTGCTAATTTTTAAATAAACTCCTGATCAGGGTACATTTGTGATTATATGTGTGCTCATTCCCTTACCTAAACTGACAAGATCTTTTTAGGGTGGTGTTTCTAAAGGAGCGTGTACAAAATCGGCCTGCAGACATTCAGGTCTGGGTGGTGCATTTGCTCTTCCTGTTCCTGCCAATGTATCAATGTAGAGTTGCTCTGTTCTCTTCAACTGTATTCATTGCTGCATTTCTCAATATAAACTTACCCCACTGTGTTTTTTATAAATAAGTATTTTTTTGAACATTAAAAAAAAAAATGGGGATAAAGTAGTACCTAGAAGTGTAGCCTGGATTCTAAACCAGCTCCACTGTACATTAGGGCTCTGTGAATTTAGGCAAGTTACTTCACCTCTCTGTACTTAAATTTCCTCATCCATAAAATGACAATTGCAGTACTAACCATGTAAGATTATTTATAGGATTAAACTGAAAGATGCAAAGTACTGGAACACATACTCAATAAAAGCCATCTATTATCACTACCTGTGTTACTACCATAACTTCTTCCTACATCACAAAGCTGTTATGAGGATGAAATGAGACAACAAATTTTAGAAGTGTAGCATTGTTCTTGGTACTTATTAAGATCTTCTTTAATGGAAGCTATTATTTTTTAAAGATATCACCTCACTGAATTCTCATTTAAAAACCCTGTGATGTAGGAGCTATTATGATTCCTTCTTTACAGATGATGAAACTGAAGCTCAGAGATTTAAAAAATTGCTTAAGGTCACAAACAAGCCTAACTGAAGCAGAAGATAACTACGGAACTGTGAAAAAAGAGGCTGGATTAGACAAATGGAAACCAGTAATGCAGAATCCTAAAAATTCAGGAAGCACTCTGGACTTGACATAATATATATTAAAGACTACTGTTTGTTCCTAAACCGGGAGCAGGGCTATATGATGAAAATGCTGACACAAAATTTCAGAAACATGGGCCAAATAAATGGGTGATTCCTCTAAGCAATCAATAAAGCAAAACAAGCAGGTGATTAACACAAGGATCTGACCTAGGCCTTTGGTCAGCAGCACAGTGATGTCAGCACTCTAATCAAATCAACATGTGAATCCTACCAAATGCTACTAGACATTCAACAAATAGCTGGGATTTCACAAAATTGTTGCTTTGCCCAAATGACCACAATTGCACTCAGGTCACAAAGAGTACCATTAAAAAGGACTCTAACACAGGAAGGACAATGCATAGTGTATATGATATGGTTCATCTAAAATTGAAAAGGACAAATCAAACCACATGTCATCTTTGCCTACTTAATCAGGAAGTCAGTCCACAAGGCTTCTTCCTATCTTTGCTTGAAATTGAGTTAAAACTCCCTGTGTGCCCTAAAGTACACTGTAACAAGAGATCCCTTCCCGGAATAGACTGGAAAAATAATACAAATGTTATTTTTCCTCAAGGCTAAGGGATCCATCCCAGGTGCCATTGTTACAACTTCATTTCCAAATCATAGTCTCTCCTTTGTCATGCAGAATATTCTATGCCTTAGGAAAATCTGTCCTTGGCTATTCCAAGTTATTTCCCCACTGCCCAAGCCAATATTGTCAATGCAAGAATCCGAAGAACATCACCAGTCTTTACTAGAACCAATATACAAAGGAGAGACACTCTCTTGCATGTGTTTTAATGAACCTGTGTTTTGGAGCCAGAACAATGGATGTTTAAACAAGTACCGCATCTTGGAGATTCCGGCTGGCAGAAGCTGATTTATTCAATTATTCTTTCATTAGGAAGATAAATAATTTTTTTTAAAAGATTTTATTTATTTATTTGAGAGAGAGAATGGTAGAGAGAGAGCACGAGAGGGAAGAGGGTCAGAGGCAGAAGCAGACTCCCTGCCGAGCAGGGAACCCGATGCGGGACTCGATCCCGGGACTCCAGGATCATGACCTGAGCCGAAGGCAGTCGCTTAACCGACTGAGCCACCCAGGCGCCCGAGGAAGATAAATAATTTTTTTACTCAGTAAATACTAATGCAATAAATGCCAATATATGCTAGGCTTTCCTTTATTTAATAGAATGTCAATAGGCATAAGATCTACCTTTTATGAAATGAACCATGTTCATTTCAGTTTCTAAATGAACTGTGCATTATCAAGGAAAGTTTGTGGGTTTTTTTTAAGATTTTATTTATTTATTTGACAGAGAGAGACACAGTGAGAGAGGGAACATAAGCAGGGGGAGTGGGAGAGGGAGAAGCAGGGTTCCCACGGAGCAGGGAGCCTGATGCGGGGCTCAATCCCAGGACCCTGGGATCATGACCTGAGCCGAAGGCAGTTGCCCAACAACTGAGCCACCCAGGTGCCCCTTGAGGCAAGTTTTTAAGTGGCACTTAAGTGGCCACTACTAAGTGGCAGGTTGCTGGGAACAGGAAATGGTAAGACTGGACA